GATACAAAGGAGATTACATATAGGGAGGGATTTCTTTTTGTGTTGGCGAGGGGGATAACGCTGGGCAGGCGGGGGCTGGCCGACCAGGACAACGACGGGGGAGAAGGGGAAAGGGGACATCCGCAGAGTTGTGAACGGATTTAATTTAAAATCGGCACCCTACAGCCCCGCCCCGACCTTCCAGAGACACGATGTGTGAAAAGACGCGAGTATTTAACAGTGTAGCAATCACATGTCCAGCCAGACAGCCAGCCGCGCGAGGGACGTCTGGCCGGGTGTGGTGAACTTGTTGGGGCGAGACCCGGCCAGCCCAGCCCAACCCCGACCGAAAAAACATCACTACGTTGTTCACTTTCAGTTCAAAACTAACGTTATACGGCTGGTGCCGAGATTGCAAACCCGACGACAGCAACGGCAACAGCGGCCAACGGCCCCCTTTTGGCGGGCGATGCCCCCGCCTCGCCGGCCTACACGAGTCCGTCTGCGAGTTGACGAGAAATATACACACAGACGGTTTCGTACTCACCATTTTGGTCTGGAAGGTAGGAACTTGTTACGGACAGAGGAATAGGGCAGCGAAGCCGTGCACACGTAGCAGTTGCAAGAGTAACGGTTGCAGCCACCACACTAGCACTTCTGACTGGCCCTTGTCTGCGACTGACTGGCTTGGTTGGAGCGAAGCTCGTGCTGGAATGTGTGGCTGTGGTCGCCGCTCGCGCTCGGCTGGGCTCGGCAGCGCTCGGGTGGGCTGGGCCGCTGGGCCGCCGGCCAACGGCTTTTGGCTCGGCCGCCTCGGCTCGGCTCGAAACGCAGGGCTCGGCTGACGCGCGGCGGGCGCAACCGGTGCTCCGCTCGTCTCGGCTCGGAGGGACGCATCCGGAGTGAATCACGCGTCTTGACATGACCCCCCGCGATGGAGTGAGTGAGAGGGGTGAGTCATACCGCGTCCCGCGAAAGCGCGAGCTACACGGAGAGCGTTACTCTGCAAACACGTCCTGAACCGAACAGGAAGAAACCTTCCTTTCCGTCGTACGATCGGTAGGTAGGAGGGGACCTATTAAGATAATGGGGCCTTGCTCACTTCTAATAGAGACCACAAAACTGAGAACTCTCTCTAGGATAATGGATGCAACAATCTGTCCAGGAGGGCGATCGGAGAGCTCCCTGAGAACGCTCCACTTCCGGCCTCCCACTACCCCCCTCACCCCGTTTCAGTCGCTTTAGAAGGCGTTTCCGGTTGTTTTCAGGGAGCTCTCCGATCGCCCTACAGGAGTAAAATTAGAGCGATATTTCCGTCGAAATAGAGCTTGGTTTTCCCTTGTTCCTTCCAGTGCGAAGGGGGAGGGTAGGTCACTTGGACACAGAGGCACTGTACTTGCTAGCACTGCTCGACTCTTATCTAGAGATTTGTTGACAAGTGTTGCTGTGAGTGCATGCACTATTAGAGGTAAGAAAAAAATGGAGTGAGTAGACAGATGTGGAGATTTCATATTCTCGTCGGTATATTTTGTCACAACAAAGTAAAACTCCAAGACTAGGACAGAAAAAAATCAGCCAAAAAAAGGGGTCATAGTAGCAGAGTAAAATCTGCACAACAGTCACTAAGGAAACACAAATGCAACAGAAATAAAAAATAAAATTACATGCATTTTAAAGAAGTGCCAGTCATATCCTAGAACTAATTGATACATCAATATTCCTGTTGTTCCTCTTCCCCCTCTACTGAATCCAAACCAACCTCTTCATAATCCTTCTCTAGAGCAGCAAGATCCTCACGAGCCTCTGAGAATTCTCCCTCCTCCATACCCTCTCCAACATACCAGTGCACAAAGGCACGCTTAGCATACATCAAGTCAAACTTGTGGTCCAATCTTGCCCATGCCTCAGCAATGGCAGTGGTGTTGGAGAGCATGCAGACCGCTCTTGCAACCTTGGCCAAGTCACCACCAGGAACAACAGTAGGGGGTTGGTAGTTGATGCCAACTTTAAAACCAGTTGGGCACCAGTCAACAAATTGAATCGACCGCTTGGTCTTAATGACTGCAATAGCTGCATTAACATCCTTTGGTACAACATCACCTCGATACAACATGCAGCAGGCCATATATTTACCATGGCGTGGGTCACACTTTACCATCTGATTGGCCGGTTCAAAGCAAGAGTTGGTAATTTCAGAGACAGAAATCTGCTCATGATAAGCCTTCTCAGCAGAAATAACTGGAGCATAAGTAACAAGAGGGAAATGAATTCGTGGGTAGGGCACCAAGTTGGTCTGGAATTCTGTCAGGTCAACATTCAAAGCTCCATCAAATCTGAGTGAGGCTGTTATCGAAGAAACAACTTGTCCAATCAGACGGTTCAGATTGGTGTACGATGGGAGGTCAATGTCCAAATTTCGTTGGCAGATTTCAAAGATGGCTTCGTTGTCAACCATAAATGCACAGTCTGAATGCTCCAAAGTTGTATGAGTGGTAAGGATTGAGTTGTAGGGCTCAACAACGGCAGTGGAGGTCTAAAGAGAAGTCAATGGCAACTGTTAGCAAATACTTTGCGGTAATAGAAACAATCAAGGGGAAAAAAATTATCAAAGTACAAACCTGAGGAGCAGGGTAAATGGCAAATTCAAGCTTGCTCTTTTTGCCATAGTCCACAGAAAGGCGCTCCATAAGCAGGGAGGTAAACCCAGAGCCGGTGCCTCCACCAAACGAATGGAAAATCAGGAAGCCCTGAAGGCCAGTACACTGGTCTGACAGTTTGCGAATACGATCCATAACAATGTCTATGATCTCCTTGCCAATCGTGTAGTGGCCTCGGGCATAGTTGTTAGCGGCATCCTCCTTGCCAGTTATCAGCTGCTCGGGGTGGAATAACTGTCTGTATGATCCAGTTCGAACTTCATCTGTGCAGGAATAAGAAAACATTAGAAGATAAAGATCAATCACACTTTACAATGACTGTTTACATTCTGTTTCTACTCATTGTTCTTACCCACAACTGTTGGCTCGAGGTCGACAAATACAGCTCTGGGAACATGCTTGCCTGCCCCAGTCTCCATGAAAAATGTGCTGAAACTGTCATCTCCTCCTTGACTCTTGTCAGAGGGCATCTGCCCATCGGGCTGAATACCATGTTCAAGACAATAGAGCTCCCAGCAGGAGTTTCCAATTTGCACTCCCGCCTGTCCAATGTGGACTGAAATGCACTCACGCTAAAACAAACATGGAAATATATCGTCTCCGCTGCAAGCGTTTACTAGACATACCTGGTCACTGAAATCCTAATCTCACCATTTTTGTTTCTCCACAGGAATATCAGCACAGAGAAGAAGAGATTGAGATGCTGCAGCTCTCTAGGTTAGAGTGGAACTCGAGAGCACGCCCTGAACTACCTTGATTAACGAGGGACGAGATGAAGGATGCGCAGGAGAGGTGACTAGCAGTTGGCGAGCGGGAACGCTGCAGTGCGACCTGGCTGTCCACTTATTGATCACGCATGTGTGTGCGTGTGTGTGTGTGCGTCTCCTACGACGTTTTCCCGGTCCCGGATTGGTGGACGCCTTGCGGGTAGGCAACGTCCGTACCAACCTCAACACGCGAGACGAGGGCTGGCGCGCCGAGGCCAGCCGCACCCTCGGCCTGCAAACTGTTCCCGCCCCCGCGCGCAGCTGCCGTACCGCCGGACCCGCTCGCCGCCCCTTCGCCTCTCACATCCCTCGGGCCGCCTGCATTCAGCCACGAGCTTTGGAAAAGCGACGATTTTCCCAACATTTTTCTCTTTCCCCTGCTGGGTTCACCCGTCGCGATGGCGAACCTAGCTAGCGTGGTACAGTCACGCGCGGGAGATTCCTTTCGTGTAGGGTGCGGGGGGTACAGCCGAGTGCATCCGTGCATACCCCGCGGCGACGGAGACACTAGCCCGCGACGCGAGCCTCGCGCGCCGGGGCAGCGAGCAGACACCGGGAAAGGGGAGAGGGGAAAGAGGGAGGGGGGGGGGTCGGCATTCCACGGCATTCCCTCGGCACGCCTCCGTTAATTGACGCTCCAATCAGCCTTCAAGTGGGCGGAAAGAATTTGTTGTTACGCACTCATTCCGAGATGGACTAGATATCCGCCGCTGGCGTCAAAATATGGGGGTTTATGGGGCGTGAATAACAGGTCGTCGTGCCCTAAAAGGCTTTCGTCTCCTGGGGGGGGTTGCTCAGGAACCAGGCCGGTGAACGAACGGGCAGTGAACGCGTGAACGAACGGCTTAGTGAACGAACGGTCCCCATTGGCTCTTATGGCGCGTTCGACGCTCCCGTTCGCTCACCTACCTCGTTCGTTCATTTGTTCTATTCGAACACTTTGTTCCTGAGCACCCCCCTAGGACAGCAGCGCTATAGAGCAGCTTGCAGTGTTCTGCGACCAAGCCCCATGTTTTTTTTTCATTGCTGTTGTTGTTAAGACGTTGAGTCCCACGTGACCACAAGTATGGTCACAATAACACGTGATCCCTCTCTCATCCCAGTGAGAAAATGGGAACGTGGATTCAACGTCCAATCGACGTCGAAATATCGAAAAGATGTGGATTTGGGGACAATTCCCAGCCAGAAACGTCGTATCGATATTCGTCGAATCGACATCGACTCGTCGGAAAATTCATCATTTCGACGTATTTTTGGACCTATCGGTCGACCAACGACGTCGAAATGACGGCGTTACGACATGCCATTTCTGGCTGGGAAATGACGTTTATTCGACTGTTTCGACGTCAAATCGGTCGAATAGACGTTGAAGAAAACTCATTTCTCACAGGGGCATGAGGGCATTTTGCTGGAGGTGCAGTGATGGTGCAGATTTTGTTTTTCGGCACTGTTGGCGAATGAGGACGTCTTCTATTTCCTGCTGACGACTTTTATTGATTTGGCACACGCATTCCAAGGTCACGAGCAGTCAAGGATCACATTTTAATAACAAATAAATATATAACTTCCGATTTTAGCCATAAGTCGATCGTTGAGATTGGCCCTATAATGTACGATGGAGGAAGCAAATGATCAAATAACACCTTTCGGGGAGTACAGGTTTATTACATAGAATCGGGGCACCTACCTTAAAAAAGAAACACACAAAAAGAAACAACAACACATCAATTAAAACCAAGCACTAATAAGAACGTGAGTTTAACAGCTTCACATATTTTATGCGAAAAGCTGGTTACAATTTTACATCAGTCTACCTAAAACTCGCACAAAGAAGTGCATTTTTGGTAAGCCGGTATTTTTTTTTAAAAAAAATACCACGTTGCTTAATTAACATTTAAAGCACTACTTCGTAGAAACCAAACATACCACCTAAGGCAGCTAATCTTAAAACAAAAGTCAAAAGCACCCTCTTCCCCATACGGCGCGCTGGCGCGCCCCTGTCGCCTCCTAAGCGCTCATCGGCCACGAGCTTGACCCTCCCCCTCCATGGCACACCTCTGTCCCCCTCCGTCAAGAAGAGTCAATCTACACGACAGTCATAGAGGGAAGCTAATTCTTATAATAATAAAATAGTTTGTGACAGTTCTGTTTGTGTTCTTTCTTTTTTGCGTTTTTAAAATCTTGCGGGCTTTGGCGCTGTTTGCAGTCTTCTTCAGGTCGGTGTCCGCCGCCTGCCTCCTTTACAGGGCGGTCACCTGCTCGTCGTCGTCGTCCTCGAGCATGGCGGCCGTCTCCGAGTCGCTGTCCGCGTTGGGCACCCGGTCGCCGCCGCCGTACTCGCTGCTGCCCGGCGAGCTCAGCCCCGTGGAGGGCGAGTCGGGCCGCGACGACTCGTCGAGGAGGCGGTGGTGGCGGTGCACGCGGCCGCCGCCCCGGTGGAAGTGCACGATGGTGGCGGAGGTGGACGCGCTGGTGCCGGGGCCGCCGCCGCCGGCCTCCTCCCCTCTCCTGCCCCGCGCCACCCGCCATCAGAGCTCCACCTGCTCCGGGCCGCTGAAGCGGACGCCCGTCCTTAGGGCGCGGTACACGCGCAGCACCGCGTACAGCGCCAGGCACTGCCGACAACACGACAATCAGCTCAATTAATCATTGCAAATTAAATAAGACACACAATTTACACGGTAAGGAAAAAAACCCAACAAAAAACCGACAAAAAAACAAAAAACAAAAAAAACAACAAACAAACAAAACAAAACAAAAAAAACCAATAAATAAATAAATAAACACGCCGCCACCAACTCGAAGGCCCGCTCTGTGCTCTATACTAGGTGGCTGATTCACGCCGCGCTACTATACTTTCGTAGTTATACTGTACCGCATGCACGCGTGCGGGCGGTTTGCCTACTCGCACGGGGCCCCAAGGAGCCGTTGGCAGCGAGCATAGGCGAAACCCGCCCGCACGCGTGCATGCGGTACAGTATAACTACGAAAGTGCGCGGCGTGAATCAGCCACCTGGTATAATGTATTTCGACTAACGGAGGAAGAAGAATAGTGGGTAGAACATAGAGGTTCCTGGTTGGCCGAGCGCCTACGCCTACCCCCACTACCGGCGTGACGTAGAGGCGGGAAGCTCTCGACCAATCGGTAACGTTCATGTTCTACCCGCTATTCTTCTTCCTCCGTTAGTCGAAATACACTATAGAGTGAGGAGGGGGAGGGGACTTTGCCCTCTGGTAGAGACAGTCTTTAAGGGACTGTCTAAAAGGAGAGGCGAGGGTAGAGTAACTTTCTGTCTCTCTATGTGTTTGTTCGCTCTCGCATGCTCTTCACTTGTGACCCGTGGCGGTGCCGCGCCCTCAGCCCTCGACGCCGCCGCCGCCGTCGTCGCCTCCTCCTTTTCTTTCTCCCGCTTCCTTAGGACCTCGTTAAAGGGGTGGCCGACACCCTCGACACCCTACACCACCCCGCCGCCACCGCCACCGATACAGCGTGTGTGTGTGAGAGAGTGTGAGCGTGTGAGTGTGAGAGATAGCGTGTGGGTGCGGGCGTGCAGAAGGCGTCGTCTCTTCTTGTGGAGCGAGGCGCGACGGTGGCGACTCTGTGTATGTGTGTGTGTGTGTGTGTGTGTGTGTGTGTGTGGAAGGGAGGGGGGGGAGGGTAGGTTCCGGCGTTGACGCAATCAGGAGATGGCCAGCTGACCCAACCAGTGTCCGCACACTTTCGTCCGTCTCCATCCGACCCCCTCCTTTTGTCTGCTGCCGTAACTTCCCCCCCTCTCCCTCTCTCTTCCAACGCCACCCAGCGCTGCTCTCTGCACTCAGCGCTCCCCGAGCCGGGAAGCGCTCTCTCTCTCTCTCTCTCTCTCTCTCTCTCTCTCTCTCTCTCTCCCCT